ATAGAGCCAGTCAGGTGTCCTGCATGCACATGTGCTGGAAATGAAACTTGCTGATAGGAGAAGAGAGCAGAGCGACAGAAAAATAAACTCATCAGTCTGCTGCTTCTCCTTTCACTGCCCAATCACATGCTGGAGGCGGGGGTCATGGGGGGCACACCCAGAATCCCAAATCCCATGGTGGAAGACAATGCCGATCACGCCTCTGACATTCTTTCTGACCGTGTACCCTGCAGGGGATACTCTGAACAATGTATTAATGGTTTCCTCTCTCCGCAGGGCCAGCACCAACAACAAAGTGCGAGAGCAGGTCCTCCTGGAGCTCAGCTACGTCAACTCCAACCTGCAGGTGCTGAAGGAAGAGCTGGAGCGGCTGAACATTTCTGTGCTGGCTGTCACTGGGGGCGGGGGGGGGGCGGTGGAGAAGACGCCGAAACTCTGAGCTGGAGAAGAGTTTCGGCGTCTGTATTCCAACCCCCCCATTGGCTGTTGCATCTGCCTGCTACTGAGATATATTTGTGTATGTGGTTCATGTATATGGCGCTGACAGTGCTGCAGCACTACACAGGGTACAGGGGCCAGCACCATCTAGGGGTGGTAGTGCGCCCCTATAGGAATGTCCTATACTGACCAGCACCATCTAGGGGTGGTAGCGCGCCCCTATAGGAATGTCCTATACTGACCAGCACCATCTAGGGGTGGTAGCGCGCCCCTATAGGAATGTCCTATACTGACCAGCACCATCTAGGGGTGGTAGCGCGCCCCTATAGGAATGTCCTATACTGACCAGCACCATCTAGGGGTGGTAGCGCGCCCCTATAGGAATGTCCTATACTGACCAGCACCATCTAGGGGTGGTAGCGCGCCCCTATAGGAATGTCCTATACTGACCAGCACCATCTAGGGGTGGTAGCGCGCCCCTATAGGAATGTCCTATACTGACCAGCACCATCTAGGGGTGGTAGCGCGCCCCTATAGGAATGTCCTATACTGACCAGCACCATCTAGGGGTGGTAGCGCGCCCCTATAGGAATGTCCTATACTGACCAGCACCATCTAGGGGTGGTAGCGCGCCCCTATAGGAATGTCCTATACTGACCAGCACCATCTAGGGGTGGTAGCGCGCCCCTATAGGAATGTCCTATACTGACCAGCACCATCTAGGGGTGGTAGCGCGCCCCTATAGGAATGTCCTATACTGACCAGCACCATCTAGGGGTGGTAGCGCGCCCCTATAGGAATGTCCTATACTGACCAGCACCATCTAGGGGTGGTAGCGCGCCCCTATAGGAATGTCCTATACTGACCAGCACCATCTAGGGGTGGTAGCGCGCCCCTATAGGAATGTCCTATACTGACCAGCACCATCTAGGGGTGGTAGCGCGCCCCTATAGGAATGTCCTATACTGACCAGCACCATCTAGGGGTGGTAGCGCGCCCCTATAGGAATGTCCTATACTGACCAGCACCATCTAGGGGTGGTAGCGCGCCCCTATAGGAATGTCCTATACTGACCAGCACCATCTAGGGGTGGTAGCGCGCCCCTATAGGAATGTCCTATACTGACCAGCACCATCTAGGGGTGGTAGCGCGCCCCTATAGGAATGTCCTATACTGACCAGCACCATCTAGGGGTGGTAGCGCGCCCCTATAGGAATGTCCTATACTGACCAGCACCATCTAGGGGTGGTAGCGCGCCCCTATAGGAATGTCCTATACTGACCAGCACCATCTAGGGGTGGTAGCGCGCCCCTATAGGAATGTCCTATACTGACCAGCACCATCTAGGGGTGGTAGCGCGCCCCTATAGGAATGTCCTATACTGACCAGCACCATCTAGGGGTGGTAGCGCGCCCCTATAGGAATGTCCTATACTGACCAGCACCATCTAGGGGTGGTAGCGCGCCCCTATAGGAATGTCCTATACTGACCAGCACCATCTAGGGGTGGTAGCGCGCCCCTATAGGAATGTCCTATACTGACCAGCACCATCTAGGGGTGGTAGCGCGCCCCTATAGGAATGTCCTATACTGACCAGCACCATCTAGGGGTGGTAGCGCGCCCCTATAGGAATGTCCTATACTGACCAGCACCATCTAGGGGTGGTAGCGCGCCCCTATAGGAATGTCCTATACTGACCAGCACCATCTAGGGGTGGTAGCGCGCCCCTATAGGAATGTCCTATACTGACCAGCACCATCTAGGGGTGGTAGCGCGCCCCTATAGGAATGTCCTATACTGACCAGCACCATCTAGGGGTGGTAGCGCGCCCCTATAGGAATGTCCTATACTGACCAGCACCATCTAGGGGTGGTAGCGCGCCCCTATAGGAATGTCCTATACTGACCAGCACCATCTAGGGGTGGTAGCGCGCCCCTATAGGAATGTCCTATACTGACCAGCACCATCTAGGGGTGGTAGCGCGCCCCTATAGGAATGTCCTATACTGACCAGCACCATCTAGGGGTGGTAGCGCGCCCCTATAGGAATGTCCTATACTGACCAGCACCATCTAGGGGTGGTAGCGCGCCCCTATAGGAATGTCCTATACTGACCAGCACCATCTAGGGGTGGTAGCGCGCCCCTATAGGAATGTCCTATACTGACCAGCACCATCTAGGGGTGGTAGCGCGCCCCTATAGGAATGTCCTATACTGACCAGCACCATCTAGGGGTGGTAGCGCGCCCCTATAGGAATGTCCTATACTGACCAGCACCATCTAGGGGTGGTAGCGCGCCCCTATAGGAATGTCCTATACTGACCAGCACCATCTAGGGGTGGTAGCGCGCCCCTATAGGAATGTCCTATACTGACCAGCACCATCTAGGGGTGGTAGCGCGCCCCTATAGGAATGTCCTATACTGACCAGCACCATCTAGGGGTGGTAGCGCGCCCCTATAGGAATGTCCTATACTGACCAGCACCATCTAGGGGTGGTAGCGCGCCCCTATAGGAATGTCCTATACTGACCAGCACCATCTAGGGGTGGTAGCGCGCCCCTATAGGAATGTCCTATACTGACCAGCACCATCTAGGGGTGGTAGCGCGCCCCTATAGGAATGTCCTATACTGACCAGCACCATCTAGGGGTGGTAGCGCGCCCCTATAGGAATGTCCTATACTGACCAGCACCATCTAGGGGTGGTAGCGCGCCCCTATAGGAATGTCCTATACTGACCAGCACCATCTAGGGGTGGTAGCGCGCCCCTATAGGAATGTCCTATACTGACCAGCACCATCTAGGGGTGGTAGCGCGCCCCTATAGGAATGTCCTATACTGACCAGCACCATCTAGGGGTGGTAGCGCGCCCCTATAGGAATGTCCTATACTGACCAGCACCATCTAGGGGTGGTAGCGCGCCCCTATAGGAATGTCCTATACTGACCAGCACCATCTAGGGGTGGTAGTGCGCCCCTATAGGAATGTCCTATCTTCGTCAGCGCCACCTAGGTACACTAGTGCCATGCAAAGTGACATCCTATTAGTCTCCGCTACAGTCATAGGCACAAAGGTCAATCTGGGTGAAAGTCAATTAACAATTACAGGCAATCAGGTTAGTGTGACTCCCTTGCAGCACAGCGATCCTGGGCACATTGTCTACCAAGAGTTTATATATGAGAGACGGCTACAGTGCACATTATAAGAACAGCGTAACCTGGTAAATCTGCATTGACCGTAGCGGCCAATGAGACTGCAGCGGACATTTTTCCCATCGCAGGACCCTGATTGGCTGCTACAAAGATCTCTTCTTTCTTTATTTTCCTGTCTTTGTTACAACGTAGCAGATCCGCTTTATATACACACAGTAGCTGTATAGATTGTAGTGATTTATGTTGCTTAGGAATCCATAGGAAGGAGCGGGCTCTGCGCTATCTCCAGCTTTGCCTTTATTTACCAAGGACGCATACCTCGCACTCCCAGATAAAGGTGCTGCAGACGTGTTTATTTTTGGCTCTTTGAGACCGTCTCCCTTCGCCTCCTCTCTCCCTTCGCCTCCTCGGAAGACCAGAATGTCTTTATTGATAAGAGACGGTTGTGTAGGTGCCTCTTGTTAAATCCTCTGGGGGGGGCCCCAATCACTGAGCGAGGAGGTCAGCGCAGAATTAACCCTCGCTGGGACACCACGCCGAGGTTGTATTTACACTTGTAATACAAAAATTAGGAACCATCACACAAACTTCATACAACTTCCCGGCGTTGTATTTATACTTATTTGTCAGAACGGCGGCTGATCTCCGTTTTTACCGCTCAGTGACGTGCGGTACCTTTCGTGATGGGTGAGGCATCCCTACAGCCCTGCCCCCAATCTGCTGAAGCCCCATCCACCTGAAGCCCTGTCCCCCAACCTGGTCACCAAGCTAGTGTGAAGGAGGGGAGGAGACAGGGAGGCTCCCTATCTCTCACTTGCTCGTCACTGGTGAGGCATCAAGATTGATGTCCTCTGTGTTTTTGTTTTTTTTTGATTGGACAGCTTGGTCCATTGACACTTTGCCATTGGTCCAAACCATCCACAGAGCTCACGCCTCTAACACAGAATACAGGCTGTGACAGCTTTTGCCTCACTACCGTAGTTAGGTTACACAAGCAGTGGGGAAGCCCGCTGCGGTGTAACCTAACTTAGCTGTCAAAGGCCAGATGCAGCGCC